CACCCACCCATCCACCCACCCACCCATCCATCCACCCATTCATCCGCAGCGATGAGGACTGAATCAGGCTTTGTGTATGTAGGCAAGTGCTCTAACACTAAGCCATATCCTTAGCGCAACTGTTTGTTTTTAGAATTATCTTTTCGAGAGACAATGAACACACACTAACGCCAGCGGTGGTGGCCACTCTCAGTGTGTAGGTCAGGCGACAGCTTTGAGAGGGCCCACTCTCTGCTTTCCCCTACTGAGGCAGGGTCTGCCTGGTTTTGCTGTGCTGTGTACTTGAGGCCTGCTGGTGCGGAAGCTTCTGGGAGAGTCTCCTGCCTCAGTCTCCCCTCATCTTGCTACAGAAGGAGTGCTTGCTGCTATTACACAAAATTCACATTTTGTGTGTGCACTCTGGGGATGGATTTAGGCTTTTAGGTTTACATGGCAAGTGTTTTAACACACGGAGCCATCTCGCTGACATTTATTTATTTTTTGAGACAGAATCTTGCTATGTAGCCCAGGCTGGCCTTGAACTTAGGATCCTTCTGCCTTGGTCTCCTAAGCAACAGGTGCTACAGGCATGCACCAGAATGCAGAGTTTATCTTCCCTTTTAAAATATCGATGAATCTTTACAAACTAATGGCTGTAAGCATCATTTCTTAAAAATGTTTATTTATTGTAATGTAAGAGTGTTTTGAGCACGTGCATGTATGGCTGTGCACCACGTGGTGCCTGAGGTCAGAAGAGGGCACCAGATCTCTCGGAACTGCAATTATGAATGGTTGTGAGCTACCATGTGGGTGCTGGGAATCGAACCAAGGCTGTCTACAAGAGCAAAAAGTGCTGTTAACCACTGAGTCATCTTTCTAGTCCCTGTAGGTATTATTTTTAAAAGGGCCACTCACTCATTCATTTCACAAGAACATACTGAGTTTCTATTATGTGATAAGCACTCTTCTCTGCCTTGTGGATTAGCAGAGTGAACAAAAGGGGCATGTTTCCATTCTCATGGTCTAGTATGAGGGACACATCATAAGCAAATGATCAAATGTACACAGACTATTGTGAGATATATGAAGATATATATATTGGTTTTTGAGACAGGGTTTCTCTGTGTAGCCTTGGCTGTCCTGGAACTTGCTCTATAGACCAGGCTGGGTATGGACTCAGAGCTCTGCCTGCCTCTGCCTCCCAAGTGCTGGGACTAAAGGCGTGTGCCACCATGCCCAGTTTGGCATCTTATGTAGACAAAGGGCAAATCAGAAGTGATGGGACAGGCCACTGGAGACCTGAGTGCCAGGAGGGACACAGCCACGTATCCTTTTAGATGGTGTTCAGGAGAAAGAAGCGAAGCGTAAGGGTAGGCCGAAGAGCTTTGCCATCACCTAGTCACAGCTAGAAGGCTAGTACATGGAGGGCAGGGCAGGATGGGGATGGATGGAGAGGAAAATGGGCTGAAAAAGGGAGCAGGGGCTGGGTGGGATGAGCCTAAGGAGTTGGGTTTGACTCTAGGCTGATGGGAGGTTTTGGAAGGTCTGAGCAGGAGCCTGGCTTGATCCAACTGATGTACAAAGGTCTCACACTCCAAACAGAAGGCGCGGAGCTTAGCAGCATGTGCAGGTCTCCACTGCTCGTCTGTGGGAAGTAAGAGGCAAACGAAGAAACTGCTGTTGACATGAGGTTAGGGACAAGAAACAATGTCCAGTGTGTCTGTAGGGCCCGATGAGGTTTGGGGGAGGTCTAGAGTGGAGGGCCATGCGGTGTGCACTGTCAGGTGGCTCTGACTTCATGGCCCTAGTCTATGCATGGCTCTTGGCCAGACTGCTTGGAGGCTCAGACGCTTCCTGTGTTCACCTGTCCTAACCCGTGGGGCTATGTCTTCTGTCTTGTGTGTGCTCCGTTTCGACATCACGTCCAGCACAGCTGCCTTGGCTGGGAACTAACCTGGGAGACTGGGGAGAGGGAATGGAGATGTGCAAATAGTCTGTTTGGGCTGCTGTAACAAAACACTGGAGGCCGTGTAGCTTCTAAAGAACAGAAGTTTATTTCTGGAGCTGACACCTCCAAGAGAAGAACCCAACTGATTCAAAGGTCTGTTTTCTGGCTCATGGATGGTTAATGTTTTACTGTGCCTGCAAGGGGCAAGGGATTTCCCTCAAACCTCTCATAAGGGCACAAACCCCATTCATAATGGCCTAGCCCACCACTATTATGACCTCATCACCTCCCGTCACCTCTTAATACCATCTTGAAGATTCAGTATACAAGTTTTTGCAGAGAGTTGTGCTTTTTGAGACAGGCTGGCCTAGAACTTGCTATGAACTAGAAGATGAATTCTTGAGCCTCTTGCCTCTACCTCTCAGGTTCTGGGATTATGGATGTATGGCCCTGTGACTAGCTCAAGAGATGAATTTTAATAGGGAGTGGGATACGATCCAAACATTTAGACCATAGCAAGTGGTTTCCTTCACTCTCATTTGATCAGGAGGCCTAGAATCCCTACGGATCTTTCTACAGTTTGTGGTGAGAGGTTGTAGGGGTTGTCTACATGCCTACCATCCTGGATTCCTGAGGGCTGGAACTCCTTTATTCTCCAGGACACAGCACAGTGCTTGGTATCTGAGGTGTATACACATTGATTTGTGCATGGATGATGGTCCACAGTCCCTGGATCCAAAGCAGCTTGGACTTACGGGACCATTCTCTAACCACATCTCTTGTTCCTATCTGGCCTTCGTCTTTCTCATCTGTAGATGGGATTCTTGTCTCTGTTCACTTTTTCAGTCACAGCCAGCTCTGAATGGGATGGTAGCCTGTCATGCTCCAGGGCAGCAGGTTAGTTAGAATCAGCACTAGCCTTAAGAAACTCAACCAGGAAAGCGTTTGTTCTGCAACACAAAGACGCAAGCTTGATTCTCAGAATTAATGTAAAATGGCCAGATGTGGTGATATACACCCGTAATCCCAGCACGGGGGAGGCAGAGACAGGATTCCTGAGGCTCACTGGCCAGACAGTCTAGCCTAATTGGTGGAGCCTCAAGCTGGTGAGAGGTAGGAGGTGGATGGTTCCTGAGGTTGTCCTCTGGCCTCCAGGTGCGTGCACACACATGGGTACTCACACATGTAAACACACACTTGTGTGCATGCACACACACACACATGCATAAAGAAGAAAAACAAAAACAAATCAAATCTGACAAGCTGAGAAGGGTCCCCAACACGGAATGCAGTTATTTGGACATCAAGGGAAGTTGTCTTCAAGGGGAGGCCCAGGAGGTTCAGAGGAGGATATGCTTTTCTCTACACAATTTCAGAGGGTTGAGGTCCTTTAAAAAACAAACATTAGAAAATGTATTTAATTTATGTGTAGGGGTGTTTTGTCTGCATGTATGTCTGTGCACTGTGTGCATGCCTGGTGCCCATGGAGGCCAGAAGAAGCAATCAGATCCCCTGAGAGTGTAGTTACAGACAGTTGTGAGTTACCATGTGAGTGCTGGGAAATGAACCCCGGTCCTCTGAAAGAACAGCAAGTGCTCACAACTATTGAACCATTTCTCCAACTGGCTGGGGTTCTTGTCCGCCCTAAAAGGATAAGCAGGTGTCCATTAAATTGATAAAAAAGAGAAAAGTCAATCAGAACAGGAGGAAACACACACACACACACACACACACACACACACACACACACACACCCCAAAGACAAACAGACAAAAACACCACCCCACCTCCGAAGTTATAGCTGAGGTTTACTCAGGTGGGGAGGGTGGGGAGACACAGGGCTGGAGTGGGTAGCCAACCGAGAGGTCTTGTGGAACCTTGTAGGCCACTCTAAGGGAACTGTGCTGGCTAGTTTTATGTCAACTTGAAACAAACTATAGTCATTTAAGAACAGGGAACCCCAGTTGAGGAAACACCTCCATAAGATCTGGCTGCAGGCAAGCTTGTAGGGCATTTTCTCAATAAGTGATTGGTGAGGGAGGGCCCAGACCGTTGTGGGTGGTACCATCCCTGAGCTGGTGGTCCTGGGTTCTATAAGAAAGCAGGCTGAGCAAGGCATGAAGAGCAAGCCAGTATAGCAGCACCCTCCATGGCCTCTGCATCAGCCCCTGTCTCCAGAATCCTGCCTTGTTTGAGTGTTGGTCTGGACTTCCTTTGATGATGAACAGTGATAGGGAAGTGTAAGCCAAATAAACCCTTTCCTCCCCAATTTGCTTTCATTATGATGTTTGATAATAGAAACCCTAATCAGAACAGAAACCTATGCACCATCTTGAAAGAAGGAAGGCAAGCAGGACACCACACAATGGACATTGCTTTTGTTTTGTCCTGCCTTTGGAGACAAGGTCTTACTCTGTAACTCAGGCTGGCCAAAAAACATATGCAGATCCCCTGCCTCTGTCTCCAGGGTGCTGAGAATGCAAGCCTGAGTTGCTATGCCCAGCTTGTGATTCGGATTTTAGAGAGACCTCTCTGCTGGGGCAGACCTCTTATCATTCCACTGTTAACCTCCATACCAGGAACGGGGGCCCAGTCACATGCTTGGGCAAAAATCAAGCTTAAACCCAGCTGTCCTGTCCTGTCTTTGGCACTCAAGGGCTTAATCTCTGAGCTTGTCTGCAGTTGTGAGCAGTGGGTGGAGTCCAGGGCTGATTTAGGAGGGGGGCCCACCCCAATATCAGGGGGAGAGGAAGAAATAAAATCCTCCTACTCAGTCTCTGGGCTCAACAGTGAATCCAGACCAATGAGCAGGTTTTCTGTCCCTTCTACTACAGGTCTGGGATTCTGGGACCGGTTCCAAGTCAAGAAGAGGGTTCCTGCGTCATGTCATCGCTGTTACTGTTACAGTGGTCCTCCCAGGAGGTGATGAGCAAGGTGAGTGTCACCCGAGTGCCCAGGGAAGCTGAAGTCCTCTTTACCTTATCCTTCCTCTGCAGGAGCTCTGGGAAAGGGTACACGCTCCCAGTAAGGTCCTTGGAGGGTTTCTCTGGCCTTCCCTGTCTTTCCAGAATTCTGTCCCCCTCAGAGGAATCCCTGGATTCAGTCTGAATGGGGGGGATACTCCTATTGTGTCACATGTGGGTGGCCCAGCTCAGTCTGGTCGTTTCTGGCCTTGACCTGTCTAAGGCTGGCCTGTGACAGTTTCCTTGGGGGCTGGAGGATTCCTCTATCTGAGAAGGGCAGAGTCCCCGAGGGCCAGAGCTGAGAAAATAGACCTGTTTCCTGGTACACAATTTCCACTCAGCTGTGTGCTTTCTGTTTGTGTTTTCCATGGCCCGCTGTTCGCACTGCTGCTACGCCATCTACATTTTGCTGAACGTTTCTAGGGACCAGCTGACGTCAGGAGACCCCAGAACTGTGCGTAACATAGCTGATTCATCTCCCCAGGCAGCGGACATCTCGACCTGCCCCTGGAGCTCTGCTTTGTCTTCTGTAGGTCAGGGCGCTGGTTTAATTTTTTAATAAATAAAATGGAACCTGACTCACGACTCAAGAGAGGCCACAGCTTGCTCAGTACCTTCAGTGTCTCCATGGCAACAGAGCCGTCCGGGAGCACTTGAAAATGTCATTATCAACAGAGACCTCGCATATCCCTTCTCACCTCACAGCAACAGCCTTGGAGCCTCCACCCAAGAGCTTTTTCACCCTTGAGGTGGGAGGCTGGATAAATGACCCAGGCTGGACCACACCCCCTCCCAAAAGCAGAAAGTTGTAACTATGTCTCCTTGTCCAGCTTTCCTACCACTGGGATGTCCTTCTGGAACGGGTTGGGTGGGGGACAGGAATCTCTTTCATGCTGGGACAGGCCCTAAGAGTGGGTGGGAAGCCTACACTGGAGCCCCGAAGTTCATGGTTGTCATTCCTGAAGTTGTCTGGTGGATGGACTGCGTCGCTGCTGAGGCCTAGAATTCAATAAACGTCCAGGAGCCGATGGCGACGGTGATGACCGAACACCTACCAGCAGTCAGACGGAAGGTAACATCCTATACGCCTTATTTTCAGGCCCTCACCGGAACTGCTCACCTAGTGACAATCTAAATGAGGGGATGAGTTTCAGCTGATTTAGTAACGATGATGTGGAGCATGTGTGACTTGCCAGGCACTCCATCAAGCACGTTAATGTTTAATAATTTCAAGCAGAACACATACGGTTACCCCTGCTTTACAGATGAGTGGACTGGGATCAATGGAGGCGAAGTAACTGCCCAAGGCCACTTATTGAAGGGCGAAGCCGAGTTTCAGGGTCAGGACTGAGTTTGACCTGTGTCTGCTGTCTTGTGACTGCCGAAGGCCCGATGGGGGTTCAAGTTCTGGGCTCAGCAGACAGAGCTTCCAGGACTGCCTGGTTTAAATGTCCTCCATGAGCCTAGTCTGGCACTTCTTCCCTGAGGTGGCCCCTGGTGGCCCTCGTCAAGGTGACCTGAGGAGACTGGATGTTTCTAGTCCACTAGCACCTACGGTTTCAGATTCAGAGGCACAGGCTACAGGACCATAGGCTAATGGTAAAGAGCTACCACTTGAGAATGTACAGTTAACTGAACTTCTGAGGATGGGGACCATGTCTCCTGTGAGACATTCTCAGGGTCTAGCAAGGATGTGGCCCAAGGTAGGGGCTTGATAGCATTTGTAGATCTCGAATGAAGAGTGAATGTGCACCCTTAAGACTTTCACACTTCTCATTCCTCCACTGCCTCAGCTTGGTGGGCCTGTCTGCCAGGCTCTGTCCACTCGCTCCTGTGACATTCCCTGCAATGGACAAAGCAGGGC